TCGCCAGGCACTTCCTCCTCTTGCCAAGCTCGTGGGTTCCAAGAGCTCAGCTTGCTCGGCTCTTTGGCTTGCGCCTTCTCGGAAGTCGGCTGGAAGAAGAACCTGAGCTTGGACCTGTTCTGTGCGTCCTCAAGCTGGGGCATGCCTCTCTGGGCCAGCACGGCTTCGGCGGCAGCCTTGGCTGCGCCACCCCCTCTGGGGTGAGACTCCAAGTGCTTCCAAGCCTCGGTTGCTTTCTGCTCCCCTGCGAAAAGTTTAACTAGTGGTTTACTGGAAAACCCCTTAGTTGGCAACAAGTTAAAGTCCTAACATCCAAGCAAAATGCAACAAAGAAACAACCCTGCTCTGCTTCGCAGACTTGGCGGAGTCGTCGGCCTGAGAGTCACCGCGCTGGACTGGCACTGGCTGGGCCATTGGAGTCCGCCTGACCGGACCCGCAGCGATGGCGCGGTTCGCCCGGCTCGCGCGGTTTTGGCAGGGACTGGCGGGGCGTTTTCGGCCGAAGGGGTTGGAAAACGCCTTTGGCTTGTCCTTGGAATTTGAGGCATGCTCCGAGTTCATCTGCTTGCACTGGTCCCTGATGTCCATAAGCTTCTTCAGGTCTTGAGGCAGCAAATTAATCTCCGGAACTTGCTGAGCATCCGCATTTGCTTCAGCAGGCACATCCTCAGCCATCTCAGCTTCAGCTCTGGGCTCTGCCACATCTGCCTCCTCCACGCGCCTTGCCTCCTCCAACCTTGCTTCCTCCTCTCGCTTGGCCGCCTCGGAGATGCGGAACTCCGCCTGCTCCCGGCGCTTCTCGTCCAGCAACAAATCGATGGCGTGGCGCTCCGCGCGGGTGAGCGGCTCGAAGTGCTTCGGGGTGCGCAGCCGCGGGTCCAGCAAACCTTTGGCGACCTGCAGCGCCTCCTGCCGCGGAAGCCACGCGCCACACACCGCCTCCAGCGCCAACTCCGGCACCAAGCGCTCGGACCAGGTCAGCGGGAAGGAGCTGGCGATGGAGGTGCACTCTCCGCGCCGGGGGTTGAAGACCACGTGGTGCCAGAAAACCGCCACCACCGAGCGGTAGCGGGGCAAGTACTCCTCAGTGGCGCAGGGCAAACGGTCCTGGAACTTCTTGTCCTTGAAAATGACCTGCAGCACATCCTCGGCACGGGGATGTCGGCACATCAAGCTGAAGGCGGTTTTGATTCCGAAGTTCTTGATGTGCGTGTCCGGCTCCTTGTAGTCTGTACCGCAGAAAACGCAGAACTCGGCAAACTTCTCTGGTGACCATCTATCCAGATTGGTTTGGAGCTGTAGCTCAGCAGCCTGGACATCCTGATCCGATTTGCCCTTCTTGCCTTGAGTCTTCAAGGCATGGGGGGGATCTGTCTGCTCTGCATGGGAGTTGCTTGCGGCTTCCTTTGCTTTGACGGCCTTGGATTTGCCGCCCTTGAAAGCCTTACCCTTCTTCTGTTTCATCGCGCTCTTCTTTTCACCTGCACCCTCAGGCAGCTGCGGCATTCCTTTGTGATCCACCTGTAGACATGGGAGGGCCACATGCTCTCCATTTCCTTGGCTGGAATTAGGACCCCAGCCAAAAGGTACTTTTTTGCCTGGTTAGTGGAAAACAAAGGGGATCCCAAAAAAGCAGAAAAACAATAAAAAGGGGGAACTAATTCTGGGGAAGTGTCCATACTTGTCCATCTTGAAGAAGGTGCTGGGGCAGCCGTAGGCCAGCAGGTCACTGTCCTCGGAGATCGCGGTGCTGATCCATCCGGTCCGGCACATGTAGGCCAGCTGGGCATCGGCCTCATAAGGAGCAACCAGGAAGTCAATGCACAACTCCTTCAAGGCGCACTGGAGACGGGAGATCATGGACCTCGTCACCTGGAGCCACACAAACGCATGCCATGTGTGTGTGTGTGTGTGTGCGCTTGTTGCTTTTTCTTGCAGATTGGAGCTCTTTGACCTCCTGCTTCATGTGTCAGGGTCAAACTTTCGTGGGAGGTCACACATTCCTTTGGGATCCAAACCCCATGAAAAGTCTTGCGGATGGGGTTCATGGCATTCAAGGATCATCCCTAATCCCGCAGCAACCAAGAGTATTAACACGCACATCAGTTCTTGACACTTTCCAAACACGGCAAGCGCGGAGAATGGTTCTTGTTCAGTTGGAATCGGGTGTCCAATAGGTGCTTCATTTAGCCCTTGCAACCAAACTCTAGGAATTGGTTGAAAGTTCGCTTCAGCCGGGTAGCTGCTTGCTCGAAACAAATCTTGGCCAGCCCCCAAAAAATATTGGTGCGATTAGTTACATCCCCAAAAAATCATAAAGAATCAAAGGGCAAAGGGACCTGCATCCCTGATAGAGAATCGAAGGGCACTTCGAACTTCAGAAGGGATCTGAGAAGGGGGTTGGTGTGCTTTTAGTTGGGTTGCATGTTTAAACTCTTGTGGAAACAACCGTGAGTTTCCTGGCCCTGGTTAGAACCCCTCTGAAACGCGGTGTGCTCTTTTGAGGCTACCCATTTCAGGTTGGCAGAAAAGGAACACCGCGCAGGAACATCCCCCATTTTTTGGGACCTGTCGTGACGTGCCAAGAGAATCCCAATGGCCTTGATGGCTTGCTCACATTTGGAGGCGACCAGCTTCTCGTCCACGCTGTGCCCAGATTCCCTCGCCTGCAACAACTCCAGCGCTTCCATCCTCGCAACCTGCAAGAAAAACCGCCATGGATTTGGGCCTGTCTCCCTTTTTGCGGGAGTAGAGGGACCCCAAAAGGAAATCATTTTGAAGGACACAACCCTCCATCTATCATCTACCCAGCTCCTTCTAACAATGGGTAAGAAACACTCGCGAGAAGCTCAAGAGACAGCAAATACTACGACGGCTTGCAAAGCAAGCAAACTGCAAGCTCGAAATTTCAGAGCTCCGCCCGATTTAAGCGCTATTCTAAAGCTAGCCATGCTGCAACATGCGCAAGCCTTTATCGATTGCATGGGACAAACAGCTTGAATATTGGACAGGTCGATATGGGGATGCTGAACATGGCTGCCGTCATAGAAGGCTTGCGGTCACCACCTCTATCATCCACAGGTGATCTGTGTTTGGCATTGGTGCATGTGGCATGTGGCGACGACTGTATATGGATCGACGTACGGTCTCCAAACTAAGATTTCTGGTCTTGAAACATGTTCTCATATGGGCTTCTCAAATAGGCTCCGACAGAATGGTTGGTTTCCGCGAAAAAGACAAAAACAGTGAACACGGAGGTGTCTTCTATTTTGCAATTTAGACCCTTTATAGAATTTGACAACTCACTCCAAGGCATTCCCCTCCTCGCGGACTTGGGCACGTCGCTGGTCCTCCTTTGCCTTTGCTGGCAGCTTCTCGCCATCAAAGACGATGACCGGCTTAATGCGGTTGCAGCGCAGGATCTCACAGGGGGCTTCTCGAATTGGTGAGCCATTTCTTTCTTTTTGGTGTTTTTTTGGGGCACCAAAGGGAAATAAGCTATTTTGTGTTTTTGGGTGATTGTTTTGGGGCACCAAATTAACGGAAATAAGCCATTTAAGTCGGGAACCCCTATGTTGAGACACACCCACATGTTCTCAGGGACAAGCTCTGGAATCACGTGAAAAGGTGCACTCGGCTGTTTGGAACCTGCATTCTATAGTTATCTCACTACTTCGGGCATAGTATTGAAACAAATGATGGATAACATACTAATATTGCATGGCCTAAGCTGGATATAACATATCCGGTCGCGCAGAGATTCCCTCCAGCAGGCACATTTTATCATCATGTATACACAATGGGAAGTACAGGTATGGAATGCCTTTCTCTCTTGGTTCCATAGGATGATTCCTGGTGTCCCAATTAACGAATATTGGCCACCCGTCTAGCCCCACTGCAGAACGTGACTTCAAACAGCTGCTTTCCATAACTTAATTTAACCGCAATTGCCACCCATCAATTCAATTCGACTGCAAACTTAATCTCAATGGCCGAATGATGCATGAGGTTATTTGATTTCAAGCCGCGATCTTTATCTGAACTTGAGACCTATATAATTGTCATGTTGACCAACCTTGTCAAACCTGGGGTTCGTTGACCGGCCCGCAGCTGTCTTGAGGGCCAGGGTTGCCATCCCCCACGACTTGCAAAGGTTGTTATCTTGTGACCCATGTCTTGACATTTGTAGATCCTGACCGATAGGCCCACAGCTGAACACCCAAGCTTTACACGAGACATCCCCAGACCGTGTGAGCATTCCACAGGTATGGCAATCACAAGCAAAAACCAAACAATTCTCCAAACAAGCTCTCCAGACGGTATGTGCCAAACGCAGAAACACGATACACTTGTGCCGCCTCGCACATCCTCAGGAAGAAGCGCACAAACTTGTCAGTGTCTCTGCCGATGACCAGATCTTGGGAACAGGCAAAAGCGCCTTTGTGCATCCAGCACATAGCGTCCACTCCCACTGTCTGGCCATTGAACTCCTGGGGTGAAAAAGGAGGCCCCGAGCAATGCCTGCAAATAAGAACTGGATCGGTGGGGATAATCAGTCCCAGAAAAACTCCAAGTGGACCACGTCCTCAAAACCCGAGTAGATGCAGGTTAAGGGACAGTCCCGACCAAAAAATGGGCGCCGCCTGTTTAACTCTTTTCATGGTCCTTAGACGATTTTAGCGCCGGGTTTTGATTGTGACTCAGGTGGTATACATTGCTGACGGGTCCCTTTTGGTTTTCCAGCATGTTCCATGCATGGCCTCAATGTGGGTCTTCCTGATGTATGGCTTCAGGAACGGCAGCAGGCCCTTGATGCCCATCCCATGGGCCGAACAGCCACCTCCCCAACACCCTGAAGCACTTGGGCCGAAGCTGCATGAAGCGATGCTTCTTTCATTCGACGACTCCGGGCCGCACAAATGGTGGTGGGCTCTTCATAGATTCCACCTCAAAATCCAGCCTGGTGCCCATGAACTCCTACAAAATCCAGCCGGAGCTTGGCGATTTGCGAGTCAACATCTACACACATGCTCCAACAAGCGTGCTCCACGGGTTTGTCCCCCGATACCGTCTGAATACGGCCCAAGAGCGGCTCGGCAAACTGCGCCTGGAGGAGCTGGCGGAGGGGGCTGAGGGACCGCGCTCGCTACGAGGAAGAAGATGCTCCATGTAGGTTCTCCTGAAGAGGTAGTCCAAGCCTGAGCCAGAAATGACACGGGCGTTCTGATTTCTCGCTCAGGGAAAGGTCGCCATCAAACCTAAGTCCAAAGAGGCTTGATGACCATTGGTGTGAACAACGGCTTGAAAGAGTCTTTAAGAGTGCATGACCATGCAAATATCCAAGAAGCGAGCCAATCTTTTCTGCTCGTGGTGGCTTCGAGGCAAGTGGAAGCCTCTCTGGAGCCCTCAAACTTAGCCCAAAACCCAGCTCCTGGACAGTTCTGTGTTTTTCTTTGACAGCGCCCGCTTCTATTAATGTCTATTTTATTGTTTGCTTCACTTTGAGTCACTTTTTCAACATCTATCCTAAGTGCACCTAGGTCCTCCAGTAGAGAGGTTAGAATAAGGCCCCCCTTTTTCCTGTCGTCTATTTTAGTCGAAAAACCCTCACCAACCAAAGAAACGGGTCGGAAAAAAAGGGGCACCACTCGCTGAGGGACCGATGGGTACAGCTTCTGCCTGGCCTCCTTCAAGGCAGGAGTCCTCTGGATGCACCAGAAGCTCCAGGTCCGGATGTCGACTGAGCCAGGCCTTCGCGAAAAAGAGATTTCGGGGAGGAGGGACCTCTCCCCAAAAAAGCTCCCCTCAAATATAGCAGATAAAAAAAAAGTGACAAAAGGAGTTGGTCAAGAAATGGACAAATTAGATTGATGTTGACAGAGAAGATGACCTTTCTCACACAAAGCGCAGGCACATGTGATGCGCTTACTTAGAGAATCAATGAGTTGATCGAAAGCTAGCTGGTCTAGTCTCTGGAGAGTCTAGAGTCTGGAGAGGCTGGAGTGGAAGAGAGAGAAGATTCCGTATGGACGGTGAGCAAGTGTTTCTCAAACATCCTCTCTTGCAGAGGCAGCTGTGAGAGTCTGCTCTTTGGCCCTACTTCAATGCATAGAAGTGTTGCAGGATCAGCTTCCAAAGCACATCGGTCACAGCATTGTTTGAAAGTAGAACGAAGGCAGTGACGCAGAGCTCTCTCTTAGGAACATGCCAGTAGCAAAAACCTCCAAATTGCAACCTGCGCTTCGCAGGGCGAGATCATTTGGGAAAGTTTTGGCTCCCTCAAAACTCCACCTCACCGCCTGCAGACCATGGATTACAGAAATACTTGGTAATAAAGTGGGAATCGCAAATTAGACAGGGATCTTTACAGTATACACCTGAACATTGCCTTGTAAATGGTGGTGTCCCTTTCTTTTGGTGGAAAAAACATGTTTCAAATGGGCAAAATGTATCTTTTAAGAAGCCCAGTTAAATACGCCAACACCTGCAATCGATGCGATCAAAAGGAGGCCCTGGCAGCCAGTGAGGTCGTACCGCTTCGCACCACTCCAGCGATGACCCATTGCAGATTCACCTAGCATGCAGTTGTTCCATTCGGTGTGAAGCAAGACCGCAAGCGTGATCCCTAGAGTCTGGAGCAGAGCATCATCGCCCGGCTTTGTGGTCGCAAACATCTCAGCTTAGACCCCTCGACATGGCAGTTTGAGAGAGTGAGGTTCAACTCTCGAAACAACTCCTTGAGTACTTGGAAAGACGTCTATGAAATGCAAGCAACCTAGTAAGGGGACCGGGGTAGATGGCACAGCCCATCTCTTCGAATCAGAACCTTGGAATCCGGGCTGCCGGACAGCTCACGGATTCGAAACAAACGACGTTTTTTGCAACATGCGAGTCATGATCAAAACCAGGTATTAAAATGGTCCATGGTCGATCCCCAGAATCATGTAAGAATCAAGAAGGCGGCCGCAGCCATTTATGGTTGAGATTGCCCCTTACTAACTTTCATTTTCCCGGGTTTTGATTGTGGCTCATGTGGGTCTTTTTGGGTACCCTTTCTGGGGTTGGTTCAAAGGCAAACAACCATTCTGGGGGGTTCCCCATAAGACACACCCATGATGTCTTGTACCGTGTACTTTTGGTTGCGAAGCAATGCTGCATATTGACACCGCATGCAGGCTTGGCTTGTGAAAGAACACTCATAAGAGCGCATTTGCCAAGGGCCGCAAGCAACTCTGCTGCTGGAATTCCGCACGTCTCATATGATGAAATGGGGAGATGCAGGCATCTACGAGCTGGCGTGGAAGGCAAGAAATCCTGCTTAATTTAACGCGTTTACCCAAACTGCCAGCAGCAGGTATTGAAACTCAACGGCGGCAACGCAGGCGTTGCAGAAGCACCAATTATGTTGGCACGTCTTCTTTTGGCCATGGAGGTATGAAGTATCCCCTCTGCTGCCAACAGCCGAACATCAAGGTAAATCATCATAAGGGTGTCCGGTCAACAATCAGAGATTCCAGCCCAAGTTTTTGATGGTCTGCAGCTTTACTGGTGCCAACGAAGATTTGGGACCACAAATGATCTGGTAAACCAGATGGTGCAGAAACATCAAATGTTGCAATGGTGCTAAACCAACAAATGGTGCAACCAAACCAACTGCGACAACTGATGCATCACCACCACCAAACGGATGACAGACCAAAGAATGGCTGCAAGGTTCATTCCCATATTCCCTACCAAGAACAAAAAGGTCGCCGCATCCCCTCCTCAATCAGCAAACGTGCTCCAGCCCAAATTCGCTCAACCGGAAGCAAACAAATCAACAACCGGAACCAATCAATCAACACAACAAGAAGAAGCAAGCAACACGACCTCTCACCGGGTCCATGAAAGTGACCCTCGAAATGGCCCTCTGGTGGTTTAAAGGTTACCAAAAGTGACATTTGAACCCAAAATGCTTGCTTCAGGGGATTCACTAAAACATCAAAATGCTCGTTTGACCTGGCCTGTCCTCAGTTGCCCTGCTCAAAGCTTCACTTTTAGTGGGTTAAATTTCGGACACCCACCCACTAAACCAACTAAAAGCCACCAAAAACCTGTCTGGAAAAGGACGGCTGGGCCTGCCATCAAGGGATCCAGCAAAGCCAAGCCGAAATTGTCCTCGGCCTCGGAGATGTGCGCTAACTCCGTCACCTGGAAGGTGTTAGGCACGATCCGCAGGCCTGGCGAGTGACGAATGCAGGCCCCGAGCCTTCCTTGAACGGATGCCCAAATTACATGGCGGGCACAACCAAACACTTTTGCAAGCGTGTCAGAGTGTTTACCTTCTCGTAAAATGGGTAAGGCCCCTCGCCCTTGAGAAACAGTGCAGGTTGGCAGCATGGCAGCATTAAGCAGATGTGGCATCATGTGATTTCCATGGCCATGATTTGGGGGAGAGTGGTTCAATCCTCTCAAACCTTGAGAAAGCCTGCCCAATGAAACACGTCGAATGATATGTTTCAAATCGGCGTCGCGTGGCTTTGGAGGTCGGATACCACCACATCTGCACTCACAAGAGACCATGCCAGTAGTCAGTTCCCCAAACAGTGTGTGCTTGCTCATGTATATATATATATACACACTATAATATGCCAACATGCCCCGGGATATCACAACAATCCTGAGCAAGAACTGTGACAGCACACATGATCAGCTTCTACCAGTTAGGTCTGCAGAACTCCGGCTCCTGGTTGCCACTGGTACATGACTTCTGCAGTCCACCATTCCACGACCTCATTCTCCATGGCACAAGCACAGTAGTTTTGCGAAAAGTATCATGAATAAAATGGCATGCATGTAACTCAGTCTGCCAATGTTCCAATCATCTTGCAGCGCTCACACCAAGACAAGTCGTTTACACCCGGTCCCCTGCAAACTAGAATGCACCCCAAGAAACTGCTCCCAGACATTCCTCACGAGGAATGTTTGGACAAGTTGCAAGGAAGCAACTCTTGATCATCTGAAGCTTTGTCAAAAGTAGAGGCCCTCTTTGGTAATGATCCTTTTTGTGGCGGCACGCACCGGCGGCAGGTCCCAAAAAGGGTGCAATCTTTGACAACACCCCACGCTTCCAAGGCTGAAGCTTTGGTGGGGCATGACTGCGGTGCACACGCACCAAGCTCATAGCCAACCTGCCGAATTGCAATGAAAGCGCAGGAAAGCGCGGAGGAAAGCGACGGAAATGCTTGGAGCACAGGTTTTTGTCAACATAACCCCAGAGCTCATTGCCTTTGTACTGAAGCATTTCGGTGACTTCAACAGTGCTACTGCTGGAACAAGCGTCCGCAGTTGTCAAAGTACTTGCGTCGGGACCATGGTGAGTGAAAGATGAAGCTACTGAGCAGCGTACGCCGCGGTTGTTGGCCGTTCAGGTTCCAAACGATCAATAAATATGCTTTGACTTCCAGCAGCTTGCGGGAGCTTTTCCTGTCACATCACCAAATTGAAAAGGGGGCCTGGCGACTTGAGCGAATTCAGAAATGCTCACACAGACTGACATGTGTACGTCTTGTCTAATCACATGTGCATACATGTCTATGTAGACATATATATATAATACAATATTCTGTATGTGTATATATATATACATATACAGAATGTATTTATGTATAATCACACTTCATTCCAGCCAACATATTATCATGTATAACAAGGATACAAGTCCAGACACATTCATGTAAACAAACGATTTTCACATCCCTCAATGGACTTGCAATGGTTCGCGAATTCCCTTTTTGAAGGATAACTCATGAGCTCTGCCGTACTGAAACGCAACTCCGCGTCGATAAACTTCAGCTAGGCCACCAAGTCTTCCGACATGAAGGCCTCGGATTGATCTACTCTACACCTTGCGACTGGAAGCCTTCCGACTTCAACGATGCGGTTTGTTTGAGCTGCTCATGAAGTGCGAGAAAGCAGTGTTCTCTTTGAAGAGTCATTCAAGCGCAACTCATTCAAGGCTTGGGATATGTATACATATATATATAATATCTGTTCATACTGATGCATCCAGGGTGATTATATTTACATTCACTTCAACTGCCGGACTGCATGTAGTCCTGTGCTACTCAACCAATTCCCCTCACAAACAGGAAACACAATATGAATTGCAGTTGAGCCCTTCCCACGTGGGACAGACTTGCCTTTCAAAAGCAACCATCCCTGCATCAAACCATCTTGTTTCAAAGGATCAAGTGTTGTCTTATAAAGCCCATTTCTCTGTGAGATGTTGGAACTTTTCCTTAGGTTGAAACACACCATGTGGGTATGGGTCAAAATTAAACCACCAGGGGCAACCCATTTTGGGGTTACCCTACTTTTGACCCGCATGTAGCTCCTGAAGGCAACTTCCAGCTGCTTTCATGATTAGACTTAGGCCCAGTTATAAAATGTATCTTCTATTGTTTGCTTCCCTTTGAGTCACCGGCGAAATGTAAAGAACGTATCCTAAGTCTACCCCAGTTTTGGCTGTGGGTCAAAAATGTGTGCCCAAAATGGCTTGCCCGATCGGTAAATGGAAATAAGTTCAAACCAGCGGTCCATATCCTGGTTCAATTTTGACCCATGCCCATGTAGCTCCTGAGCATAGGTGTCCTTTGAGGGGAAGATGGCACTGGTAGATGATTAAACCACCAGGTAAACCAGGAATCGCCATCGATTTTTCCAGCAAAACAACCAAAAAGGACACCTATGCTCCCAATGTGGCTGTGGGTCAGAACCAATGGTACCATTTTGGGGTAGGTGCACCACTTCTAGTGGGGATTGGGATGTTCACTGGGGGCTAACCGATTTGGGTTTTGACCCACGCCCATGTAGCTCCTGAGGGCAACTCCAGCCCGAGGCGCCGTTCCAAAGTAGCTGCCGCCCAGCTGAAGGCAGGCCTCGTAGTGTTTCAGGGCATAGGCCGCGTGCGCCTGCGGCCCGGCAGCCTGGCGTGTTGACGGTTGACGCGTGTTTGATAAACACCCCCTTCAAAAAGAGTGGGGGGGGGTGGGGGGGGAAAGTGGGGGTGGGGGGGGGACCCAGTTTTTCGACCATGTTTCAGCTTCTGGTGCTTGTTCGTCCCAAAAAAAACGGAATGGTTGGGGGGCGGGGAAAAAGCAAGGTCGTCCCTTGGGTGGCCCGAGGCACCAGGACGGCCAAAAGAAATCGGGGACCCCAGGCTCGAAGAAAACAACACAGACAAAAACCTATCCAATCAACGGCGGGTATCAATAAAGGCTGTTCAGGCAAAATCTGGAGCCTCCATAGAGAAACCCGGCACAAAAAGGGCCAGACGGGCCTTTCCCAAGTTACTGGCTTAGTATTGCTTAGTATTGCTTTAGTAATGGTCTAGAATTGCTTCGTGCTGCCTTCGTACTGGAAATTTGTCGGCTGAGCACTTTTCGTTAAATGATTCAGTATATATATATATATATATTCAAATAAGAGAATCGGCAGTTTGGGGGATGCGTGTTGTTTCCGGGCCAAAAAGCTCTGGAACAAGAAATGCGGTTTCTTACGGATTCAATCGCGGACTTTGTCTGAGCGTACTTGATTGTATTAGGTACCCCTTTTATGTTGGGGGTAGAGAACAACTTTGGAAATACTGTATTTTATTTGATACCCTTTGATTCATCGGGTACCGACATTAGTCCTGAGATACTGGATGTCCAGGAACCAACCTGAGTACAGGAGATGGTCTCCGTTCTTACGGCCCCTATTGATTGAACAACACTTGCTTCAGCATGATGCTGGAGCAAGACCTGGTCTCTGGATGCAATTCAATCTTAAGGCACACAAAGAACACATATTCTTTGCTTGACTAGTTTTGCTCATGTCCGAAAGCCAGCGTCAACAAAACACTCTGAACAGTCCGCAAAGGATTCTGCAAGCAAAGTGAACATCGCGAAAAAACCTCCGGAATTTGGTGAGTCAAGTAACACAGCAAAGAACGTTCACCGAATCTTCGAAACGTGTCTGGCATAGTCTCTGCTGGCTGCTCCAAGCTGCCGAGACCACCCGAGATTCCGGTCCGGCATGACTCAAAATCGCAAGGATGCATTTCCACGTTCGAATCGCTTGAGCACACTGGCAAAATGGAAGTTCTTTCTAGCTCATAGTCTGCAGGCAATGTCAAAGTTCTTGTGAAACTTCCTGAACAACAAATTGTGAGACCTAAAATGACTGGCTTACTATTACCAATTCAGGCAAGGTCATGACTTTCCCCCGCTTCCCATCTTTCCAAAAATGTTCGGGCCAGGTCCTCAGCTCTGAGAGCTTCGTTACTTGCGTCGACTCGGCCCGAAGGATCCAATCCGCGGTACGGTGGACCATTTATCGATCTGAGTGGCAAGTCAACAGGGTTGGAAAACCGAACAAGCGGGGATACGGAGGGAGCGGGGATATGGGCGGGATTCCCTAGGCGCCATGTCCCATATCGAACTTAGTCAGCATTTCGGGGGAATCCTCTCGTAACCCTGTTTCCCCCTGTATCCCTGCCAGTTGGCTTTGCTGAACAGGGGTCAATAGGACAAATTCAACTCAGGTTTGCCTCATGTCTACTGCTCCGAAACTCCGGCAATCAACGCCTTGGGGTTCAGGTCGGCGTCCAAATCCATCGGAACACTCCGAACCTGCACTCAATGATGGCAACCCGGTTCAGTCAAAGCCCGGTCCATGATGCAGGTACCACTTTGAAAGATGAACAAAATCGAAAGAACATCTTCGCACCGAGGCATTCACAGCAACGCGCATCCTCCCACCATGCCTGTGCGCCAAAGAGGCTTTCCATCTGCAGCTTCTGCAGGGGCTCTCTGCTGACAGCAAACAAGGCAGCAGTCGATGTCTTCAAAAGGGGAGTGCCAGATAATGCCAACGCCTGACACCCTCAGCTTGTGATGCTGGGCTTCAAAGCATTCTAACAACTCTCAAGTCACTTGCCAAACCGCAGTCCTGGCTGAGGAACTGCCAAGCACACCTCCGATAGGCGCACTCTGGCTCACGAAATGCGTCGTCAATGTGCTTTACGCAGGTTGCCTCATCTCGAAAGACTGTGGAAAAGCGAGCGAAACTCCGCGCTGACCATCACTGTGCAAACTCTCAGGTCGGCTCCTGCTCTTCCGGCAAGACCTGGGCTCGCAAATCATCACATGGGTGTGGCTCAAAATTAAAGAGCTAGGGTTACGCGGTTTTAGTCTTTGCTTCCACATACCAGGGTTCGATTTTAGGTACTCATTTTTGACCCACAGCCACATGCTCTCTTCGCGATTGGAATGGGGCAGGGAACCGAGGTCAGGCAAACAGCAGCACTTCCCTATAGGTCCCGCCTCAGCTTTCGCTCTCATCTTGTCCATGCCTGCACAATGTTTTGCGAAACATTACTTCACCCTTGGAAGCCCGGTCGGCAAAGGGTTTCGCATGGTTCGGCTGGTTCAACTCAAACAACTTGCCAGGGCCAGGCCTGTCCCACTCATCAGCCAACTTCAACTTGCTTCCAGAGCTTCTTCCACAAACATGCCGCCTAACCTGCGGGTGTGGAAACACAAAGGGTGCCTACGAGGGCCGATTTCGCCAAAATGCGCCGCGAGCGCCTACGCGCACCTTGATGCTTTCTCGCGTCCGATGGACAGTGCTTGTCTTGTTGCCGCCATGCCTAAGGACGCCACCTACGCAAAAGCGAGCACTCCCCGCAAAAGGCCCACGCGAGGCCTAGTTGCGCGACAACGTGACTCAATACATTTGAGGGCTGCGCACAATTGCGACGTGTCAGTACAAGCGCAGTAATTACACGCAGTGGACTTTGGCAGCTCCGGTCTAGCTCGAACATCGCAACTTGTCGGCAATATGGCAAACCACGTCTAAGCGAACCCTGGGCAGGATCCTGTTGAATTCGCCGCAAAATGCCGCCACTTGCGCTACTTGGCCTTGGCAGAGTTCCACCTGAATCAACGGAAACACGGTCCAAACAACTGAACGTAATTTCACAAATACACACGTACACATGTCTTGTGTCGTTTAGTGTGCACACCATCACTTCGAATTCCACGCCAAATGACCCTTTCGCAACCGGCCTACTGCGCAGGGTCCAGGTGGCGGCAGTGGAGGTGCCTTCCAGTTTCGGGCCGCGGCCTCAAATGCAACACGTGCGGCTGATCCGGGTTCCCGAAGAAGAAAAAGCCAGGGAGCAAGTAGGGAAGACACAGCGCTGATAGGAGTGATGAAAACACAATCATGTTGGTAGTAAATGAAAGATCTGTGCAATCATGATCAAATCGCTGAGCTGTACCCAAATCAGGATCGAGACGCGTCCAATCTTCAAGAAAAGTGGATTCGTCTCCAGACAAGAAGCAGTCGAAGTGCCCTTCCAACATCTTATGACAATCTCAAGCCTGCCAGCCCAGTCACTGGCATTCCTTGGCATCCTCAATATATTGAAACTTGGCTCTACACAAAGACCGAATTCTGAGGCGAGGGATTGAGTTAGCGCACTCTTTTGACATGCAGTAATTCATAGGGTCTCATTTGCCACTACCACTGAGATAAAGGCTACGTCAATTGAGTCGCAATCCAAACCTGGTATCAAAATGGTCTACCCAATGTAAAGGCTTCAGAAGGCGGATACCCGCACCTCTTTACTGTTGGGACTATCCCTTACAAACCTTCACCTACCCGAATTGGTTTTGATTGCGACTCCGCTGCACCGCCGCTGGGTAGCGCGCTCGGCCCTCCAGCAATCGCGGCAACGCCTCTGCAAAGCCGTCCACGCAGGCGTCCGGAATGCAGGCGCTGCTGTGGACCCTCGGGGACCCGGGCAAAGGGTATCCGAGTTGCTAGTATGGCTGTGGCTCGAATACATGTACCAACATGGCACCTTGGTACATGCAAAAAAAAGGACTGACGCCTGCGCAGCCCCGAACTGTCTAATTTTGAGCCACACCCATACGAGCCTTGCTTGTTTGAAGGCTTTGGCTTTTCGCAGTGGGAGGTTTGGGGCGGAATTTGAAGGGTTGCCTTCGTGACGCTTTGCGCCAAGCCGGGCCAAGGTCAGTTTGTGGTTGTGTGCGCTCCAAAAATGGAATAATTCACTGAATGCCAGGAAAAAACGATTTCTGCCACTATACAATCAGCTCCTCCTTGTCGATGGCAGCCAGTCACCGACACAGGGCTAAGCTTATAACATAAACTAGATAGAGGGCAATTTGAAACATCAATTCAGCAACAGCCACGTTGATAGGAATAATTATTCATCACAAATGCTGCACCGAATAACTCTTCTCAATTTACCGATTCAGCACCTTTCTCTCAAGAATTGTTGTCCTCGTTTGTGTTTTCGCTTGAATTTCATCCGTTAAAGGTGAGTAGGGCTGAAGTTGAGTGTAGGATGAGTTGGGTGGGCCGCGGATTGATATAGGGTAATGGAGTTAGTCTTAGTGTTCAAGTATATCTGCTGCCTGTATGGGGCATCTTAGGGTTGGCTCAATGTAAGACAAGGGTGGGCCTGCTTTTCAGGGGGTTTTGGGTTGGTTTTAATGGACAAAGGGCTTGGTGCTGGGGGGATTGGACCTCGACTTCCAGTGGGTCTTGGGATGGGGCAGCAGCCGGAAAGTTGCTTAGCCGCGGATTTCAGCTTGTTGGCTTGCTTGGTTGCCTGACTGGCTGCTTGCACGCTCGTTCGCCTCCTGACCTGCTGGCCTGCTGGCTTGCCCCATCCGCTTGACTTTACATTGAACACAACTGCAACTGGGGGCGCGGCCAACGGCCCTCTGCAGCCTCCACCTTTGCAAACTGCAAATACCTCGGCGTACAGGTGGCTCTTCCCCGAAGGAGAGACATGGTTTGCTTGGGCCGTTCTCAGCCCCGTTGGGCACACGGGAACGAAGCGTCGCCCTAATGCCAGCTCCCAATAAGCATCCAAGCCCAACTGGACTCCAAAGCCTTGGGAATTTGGAATGGATGCTAAGACGGATAAAAGTGCCCATTTCAACATATGGAAATAGCAGCTTGCCGCGCCGATCTGTTCAAACCCATGTAACTCCACATTTAGCACCACAAACAACTCGCATGCATGTCTCGAAAAGCCAACCTCGAGCGACGAGGCTGGCTTGCACTAGCCAGACCGACCGACCAACAAAGCAGCCAGCCAGCATCAGCATCAGCATCAGCCAGTGAGCCAGGCCTCTTGCCAGGCCTCTTGGGCAATCTCATGAGGTGCCAGGTCTCTCAACCCCCAAAACCGAAAAGCACGCAGCCTGGGCCCGTTTTAAACGGAACGCATGTTTTTGGGTGTTTCCTCAGGTCTCCTGGGGCCTCTTTTTTTGCACGAAAGTCCCTGGGTCGCCCCAAGTTCCTCGATCCCATCCGGCCGCCGGCCTGGCCGCTAGGAGCACCTGGCCGAAGCCCAAGCCGTGGAAGTGGCAGCGGCCACGGAGCTGTTCCTGCCGCCCAAAAAAGCGCCAAGGGTCTCCCCGTGCTGTTGCTTGGAAAGGGGGAAAAGGGGGGTTTACAAAAAAAGAACTCCTCCAACCCCTCGAGTGTTCTTTTCTTGCTTTTTTTTCTTTCTTTCTTTCTTTTTTTGTGGGGGGAGGGCTGGAGGTGGGAGGTGGGGTGGGGAAAGGGCTTTTTGGTTGGGGCAACAACTTGTGTTTGGTTTGTTCACTATATTTAGATTCTTCTGTTGCTTCTTTTTTTGAGGGGTTCCCTCAAACAAAATGAGGCCCTGAAGATCGACGTCTCAGCTGGCACAAATGCACCCAGCTTTGAGAATACCATGTCGCTTCTTTTTGGAGGTGGAGATGGCTGGGGCTCGGGGACCCAGCAAGCAATTTTAAGCCGAGAAACATTACTGCCTTCCTTTGCCAAAACCTACGCTGGCAAGCTTGTCGCGTGTTTCTGCTCAGGGAGCCACACATGTTCAACACTAGAATGTGTGACATGAACAGCAACCCTATAGACACAGCATATGATTGAGGTTTTTTTCCGGTAGAAATCTCTTGACTAGGAAAAATCGTCCTCAATCTAATGTTCCCAATCCATCTTTTCATCTCTTTATTATTTGGATTGGGATTTTAATGGGTTTGTGGATTCTAGCGTCTCTGTCAATGGCCGTGAGGAGGTAGAAGGGACAAATGAGAATGGGTGAGAAGAGATGGGAGAAAAGGAAAGGGTGATAGGTGACATCCCACCCTTTCATCTCCCTCGTTCGCTCTCATTCTTCCCGCTCACCATGTAATCCTCTATCCATCACTTCAGGTCTTTTCTGTAATAGCGGTTCATTTCTGAGATTGATGGTGTACGAAAGGCAAATGCTTGACTGGGATAAAGGGTTCTTCATTCATTGGCGGCATCATGACCAAGGAAAAGTGGCCTGACAGTGAGGAGCTGGAAGGACATGACACGGTCTGACGAAGGAATCCCATCTCCCACCTCTCGCTTCACTCGCTCACATCACACACTCAAGCACCATTCCCACCTACATCCCTTTGTCTTGGATGGTGCTTTCACCCGTCCCACATCCTAAAGTAATTTGTAGATGGATGTGGGAGGTGAATGGTGGGGAGTGGTCAGGTGAGTGGGAACGGTTAGTGAGTGGGTTGGTTAAAAGGGTAAACAGATGAAGGACGAGCTTTCCTGTCAGCCATCTTCATCCTTCCATCTCATTCTGGATTCATTCGATGGACAGGAGAATGAAGAGGAAGATGAGTTCCTTTCTGGAATTAACTTGTAACCGAAAGGACAGTGACATGACCAAGAGCTGGGACAAAGGGAAAGCGACCCCATCATCTCACTCCATTCAATTTCTGGAGATATAATCCTATTTCCTGATGAATATAATTCTATTCTTATAAGGACTGATATTAATGTACCGGAGATTCCAAAGATGAATCCAGATAATAAATAATAGATTCCTAAGCCGTTATGATTACAACTTTTATCTTGTGAATGAAATAACCGAGAAGCACGTGCTGTGACACAAGCTACTGTATCAACTTGATCAAGAGAAATCAGCTCGTATTCCGAAATGCACCAGCTGGTGGGTGGGGACGCCTTTGGCGTTTTGCGGACTCTGTGAAAAGCTAGCATCTGAGGAGTGAAAGAAGAAGCACTCCAACACAACTTGCCATTTAAGATCAATTTGTGGTCCCTGGCTGTCCATCCAAAGAAGTGGAAGCCATCGGAAGTCTTCAAAAACATTCAAACACGTTCTGATTCGCCAAATTCATACGTAGAATAATGTTTGGCTCTCCCAAGAAGTGAAACTGCCAAAAACGGTCTTCTACTATACTTGCTGTTGTTGGATACTCCGATCATGTTTACCGAACATATACCGAACATATGCAATTTCAGACAGCGCATATTCCAATTAGTATCTCTGCATACGTAGCGTCGACTCACTGAAACAAGCGGACGAACCGCTCCCATGGAAGCCCGGCTCCAGCTCTTCGGACGTCCAGACTTCGGCAAAGTTGAGGCTCATATGCAGATGTACACCTCGCGCGCCTGGCAGCCGCGATTCTGACTCCCGGAAGGGAAAACACAAAAATATGAGCCCATCCTGCGCCTTGGATTCTGGATGACGTCTGACTTTCCAGTGTCTTCCCGCCCAGTTTTGTAATTCCGTAGAAGGGCGCGTCAAGTCCATCTATCTAAATGGGTGTGTCGGTTTTTTAGGGGAACCTCCAAACTGCTCGGAAAGGCCGGCGGCTGTGTCTCAAAACCAGCAACGCCTGTTGCTTGACTTTCAATGCAACCTAGAAGAGCCCAATTATATTGGCAGACTATGAACAAGTTTCACAGAAGGCAGCCAACATGAACCGAACAGTGGAATGTCCCTGTTGAAGCATGCCAGCCGCCTGCTCGGCTTAGCAGTTCGGCGCAGTTCTGGGCAGGCTCGGGCTTGGCAGGCCATGCACTGCGAACCTGACAAGTTGGCAAAGATGAGAACTTAACTTGATTTGGCTGGTGGGTCAAAAATGGGTACCCAACATGGAAACCTGGTAAATGGAACCAATGACTAAAACCGGCGGTCCAATTACTTTTGGTTAAATTTTGACCCATACCCATTTCGGGAGTTGCGGTTTCAAGATCCGGGGATTGAAGCCACAGCTTCCCATCGCCGCCTTGGGGTAGAGGTCGCATCCAGCAGAGAGCCTTACGCGTGAGGCGAGAGGCGAAGCAGCCGGAGCTTGGGCCGGCGAAATGCCCAGCACGGCCGCAAGGACCTCAGCTCTGTATTCGAGACCTCTGCGCGAGATTGAGCGAGCCATGGAACCGAGCTCGGCGAAGCCTGTTGTTGTTTCCCCCTGTTTCCCAAAACAAAATACAACAGCTGCTCTCCCCCGCCTGAGTGTGCCAAGTGGGCAAAGTGATTCCACTCAGATTTGGTGGCACTCAAAGAGAAGCAAGCATATCATGATCAGTCCTGTCTGAGGCGTCAGCCAAGTGCTTGGCGCCAGCAGGCATCAATGTTGCTCATCCCAAGCTACGAGGCTTCGTGAGGTCAGCCTGTCTGAGGTGTATCCCGGTACATTTGCATCGATGTGTAACAGTGGAAATGGCCGCACGTGGTGTGTGTGTGTGTGTGTGAAGGTAAGAAAGTGTGTGTGTGTGTGGGTGGGTGGGTGGGTGGGTGGGTGGGTGAGTGGGTGGGTGGGTGGGGGGTGTGGATGTGTGTGTGTGTGCCGTGGGCTTCTTCACAGGTGAACATGTAACGCGCCAACGTGCCAACGTGTAAGCTTGAAGGTGCCAGAGTGAGCAGGTGTATTCAGCTGGTAGTGCACCTTCAAACTGAGATGCAGTGAACACATCCTTCCAAGACTAAACAAATCGGCTACCGAACCAGATCGGCCCTCCAACCCAGTGCAGTGGGTAGGATACTGGAGAATCATTCCTTTCGCAGCTGCAGAGCACCAATCTGCACCGCACTTTGCTTTCGGTGGCGATTTTGCCTGGGTGGCCACGTCAGCTTTGCTCTTGCCAATCGTCATCTTCAAAATCAAGCCATTGACCTTCAGCGGAGAATCATCATAACATCCTTTGGAGACAACATCAACTTCATGCATAAACCAATTGCCCAGACAGCTTTCTTAGATTGCACGACAAAATGATTTTGTGAGACCTGCTCTCACTCGGATTGCAGCTATCGCATGCTCACTCGGCAGCCTGCGCACGGGGCTACAGTATAGAAAAACAGTGGCCAGTTCCGCAACTTGGAGATTCTCTGGCATTCATCGAATACCGACATCCTCCATGTACAGTTCAGGATACGCAAGATTGGTGCAATGTTCTCCCTCTTTCATACTCTTTCATGAACCTCGTGCTCTCAGTTTCGAATCAGAAAACTGGTCTCCAGTCAGTATTGGTCAGGGCTGTAGGAAATGACCACTTCGGTCACACAACAAGGGCCTCCCAAAGACTAGCTAACCCTCCAAGAAGGGGGAGATTCCATTCTTTCCAGGGATCATCTTTTGAGAAAACCATCAAACACCCAGAGAAAACAGCTGGTTTGCGGTTTAAGAACGCAAGGTGGTTGAAACTAATGGGGAGCTTCACTCCCTGGAAATCGAGAATCGGCCTCGGTTGGACCCCTTGTGATCCCACAACCCCGGTGCAATCCAACGAAGGCCACGGCCTTGATGACCTGGTTGAGCAGAGCTGCTCCCAGCTGCGCTTTGGTTCGGTCCCATTCCGTATCCTGGAAAGACCGGAAAGAAAGAGGACAGCACTGAACTTGGAACCTGACACTGAAGCCAGTCTACCTCAACCTCGTTCGGATTCCATGCTGCTATGTTGAGGGTGATTGTCGCTTGTCATTCCAGTCGCTTCTGAACTTCCGACGTGTTGCCACATGTGATGCTTAGTTCGCATAAAATGCGGCTTGCATTCCGCTGGTCTCTACCTCCAGAGATGATTCAAGCAGGCTCAGCGCGGCTTGCACAGGGCCTTTGACATTCCTCTGCCACGCATGTTTTCCGTGGGCGGACTAGATCGATTGGTAGGTGGCTAGCTAGCAGGTGATAGATACCAGGTGATAATCTGATAGGCCTCGCCAGATTAGATCGATTGGTAGGTGGCTTCTGATAGATGGTAGCTTGGAGATTGTAGATTCCTTTGTAGATTGCGGCCAGTGGCTAATGGACGATAGAGGATGGTGAATGATAGGTAGCTGTAGATTGTTGAGACCGGATGATCAAAGGAAGGCTAAATAGCCCCGGATGGTCGAGACGGTAGGACTGCAGAAAGTAGAACATGAGCAAATCATGTGGGACGAACAATTCTAGGACGTGCGATTGAATAGCACGCATACTTTGCAGAGCATGAGACCGCTCGCCAGCGATGGAAAAGTCACAGCTTTGTTAAAAGGAACCCCGCAACATAATCCTAGCTGATTTCAAGAGGTCGACCCAACAACAGATTTAGTGAAGCAACTAGTGGCTGATAATGAGCTGCCTATAGCTGTTCGTCGTGTGCCAAGCATCATTGTCTCCAAGGCTCGAATCACAAGTCTATGGGCTTATGGGCCTATGAAGCAAACAAAAAGGGCCCGGCATCAGCGTGGCAGATTTTGTCTGTCTATGTCCTACCTGGCCATGAACTCAGAGTGAATGCCTGTAACACTGTATTGTATCATTCAGCTGTTCCAGAGTTCTTTGTTGTGCTGTTTCAGAGGAGCGACGCGAAGCTTCGCGACACCAAACTTGATCTGGAAATGACCCCCCCACCCCACCCCTCCTCCCCCCCACAAACCCCCAAACCCTCCCTTCCCCCCCCGCCCCCACCCGCCCCCGTGCCACAGACCCGCTTCCCCCCCGTCCTTTGGGGAGGCCATGAGTTCCGAGAGCGCCTGCGCCGCGCGGTCCTGGCGAAAAGTGAGCCGGCAGCCTGCTTGCAACCTGAACATGTCTGTATAGCATTCATGCATGCATGCATGTAGGTATGTATGTAGGTATGGATGGATGGATGGATGTATATGGATGTACGTATGTTGGTATGCATGTGCGTAATCATGCATGTATACATATATATATATATATATCACCCCGTGACCTGAGTTGGATTGTGTGCCCAGACAAGCTTGCTGGTAGTTCGCAGTCATCGCTAAGCAACTTGACACGCTTGCTTTTTTTTGGTTTAAAGAACAAAACATGGATCGTTGAATGCTTGCTTCCTTTCACTCACTCAAACATTCCGTCAAAACGCTGTGCGTTTAGTCGTCGCAGAACACGGTGATTTGAAGCACTTAAGAGTTGATGGGAAAGCACCTGAGCAGCTGTCTGATTGTAACGCAATGCCAATTGGTTTTAGACTCGTTGCTTGGAAGCATATCAAGGGGGACCCTCTCGTTTTGCAGCGCTTTGTGCTTTCAACGCTGGCAAGCGCGCAAATCGCACCTTTTCAGTGCAAGCGTAGTACGCCAAGCACACTTCGGCGGCTCCAGCTTGAAGCGCAACTTTTAAGTACAAGTGTATTACGCAAAGTGCACTTTGGCAGCTCCAGCTTGAACATCGCAACTTCTCAGTACAAGAGAATATGCGAAGCGTGCTTTGGCAGCGTGCTTTGGCAGCGCCAGCTCGGAAATTGCGCTGGACAGTACAAGTGAGTACGTGAAGCACGCTTTGGCAGTTTCAGCGCAGATATCGCACTTTGTCGGAACAAATGCAGTACGCAAAGTGCGCTGTGGCAATGGCTCCCTTTGCAAGCCATGACAATCGTTACTGACTCGGTTGGACTCATTTTGGTTTGTTGCGGTTGGCGCAGCAGGGACTAAGACTTGATCTCGTTTTATCTCGTTTCAGATGTTCTACAACTCTCGGTTTGATCTTGTTTATTTGGGGGACCATCTCGTTTCACAGCGGAATCTCAAATGTTGCGTGCCGTATCAATACATCCTGACCACAATACCGGAAAAAAGAAGAAGAAAAAAAACAGAACAGCAATCTAAGAAGATAGGTCGGTTGCGCATGAGTTCTGACAATTTTCCTGAGTTAGCATACAGCCGTTTCTCACTGCCTTGAATACTTGCAAGCAGATTGCCAAAGAGAACAAACTCGAAGGACATCACACATAATGTTCTTGGACACACCTCAGCTACTGACATGTCATGGGGGGTGCACCACACCCAAGGGGTCTTCTGACTTTTTAAGTCAAGCAAACCTTAATCAACACGTCGCTGCTTAGCATGAGGACCTGGAGCCTCGCATTCAATTATTGCAGGTGCTCTATTTGATCAGTTCTTTCAGAAACACAGTCTGCCTATCAGGTGCTAAAGTACTTTGCAAGCTTCACATGAGTCATAATCGCAACCTGGCATTAAAATGATCTACCCAGAATCATGCAAAGAACTAAAATGGCAGCCGCACCCATTTATGGCTGGGATTGTCCCTGGCATTCTCACGTTCCAATTAGACATATTCAGGCATCCCAAGGCTTCTCTCTGGGCTCCAATTACACGCTTCAAAATAGGGATTTGGTTTCCCCAGAATGGGTCTTCTCTTGGTCTCCTTTTGAAGCCAGCCCGAAAATGGTTCCCTCAAAAGACACACAAGAGACTCTGCAAGCCGAGTTGTTTTCTCCGCAAGGACCCATGTGCGGCCCGGAGGCCACTTGATGACGGCAAACCGCTCAACTGCGAATTGCCGCTCGCCTTATCCAACGCCGAAGTCGGCACAAGCTCGACCCCGGCCACCTGAGCAGAAAACCACGCAGTGCGTGTAGGAAGCCGAAGCATCTTGGAGTCTACAACACACACACACACCATTTGGCTGGTCCCTTGATCCAAGTACCCACATGCAAAGCACGTGCACGGTCTAATCTTTCTAGCATTTTCATGAGTGTACTCCGTACCATCTCTTGACATAAGTCACAATCAAAACCTGGTACCAAAATGGTGAACCCAGAACCATGTAGGGAATTGAAAAAGCGGCCGCAACCATTTATGAATGGGACTGTCCCTTACTAACCTTCATTTACCCGGGTTTTGAGCAAGTGACTCACATGTTGATGAACATCGCGCTGCTTTTTTGCCAGCCGGTGATCGTTTTACCTCGGTCGGAAGGCCAACTCCCCGCCTCAGCGGTGCAGCAGCCAGAGCCATCAGTCGGGTGGTTAAAGAACAGGAAGCCGTCCGAGATGAAGTAGTCCTGCTCAAGGCTCAGGGTCCGTTGTGTCTGAGTGCCCATGCTGAACATGCGCAATGCACCAAAAGGTTTGCCGGAGACACCGTCATTGAGGGTGTCCGAAGAAAGTCAGTGCAAAAGTCCGGAGGGAAGCTAACCATGATGAAACACTGCTCATGAAAATTAGCTTACCCTCAATCTGCAGCAGCTATGTCAGCTCATGCAATTCAAGTAGCCCTCGTGCGCCTTGGTCTCTGATCCATCTCTCACGTTGATGACCCCAGCTTTCAGCTGAGAGACAATCAGCGAGTGATTGTTGGTCACGGTGAAGACTCCCTGGCCATGCTCAAGCAACCTCCCAATTCCTCGGAGATCAGTGCAACTGGAATGC